CTACACTGTATCCCCATGTGGAGGTGGCCATCTTGGTAGAGGCAGGGTTTTGCTTCCTCATGTCAGTGCCTCCACCAAGGGGAACAGCACAGTAGGGACATCACCAAATCTCACTCCAAGCGGTCAGAGTCAGCAGTATCTTTGACCACTGCTGCAAATATACAGGTAAAAGACTGTAGACGCAGGACTGCCTAGACACCCTCACAAATTAGAAAGCATATTTCTGTTTTTCAGGAGGAATTCAAGACAAATCAAGACTGCTTAAACACAATTAACATTTATAAATGTTCCCTATGACACAATAATCCCTCAAAGTCCTTCCTCCTATCTACTAATCTAAGCTAGAACCACTCCAAGTGTTAAAGTAGGCCAAGTAGGCTAGTTCATCTCTATGGAAAGTTACTGCACAAGAGTGGCCAGCAACACAGGAGATTTCAGGTCTGATGATGGAAACACCAGGGGAGGCTGCTGGGCTTTTTTTTTTTTTTTTTTTTTAACTGAACTTGTACTTTATGTTCAGTTTTCTTGTGGGAAGAATTCCAGAGCGTGTAAAAGGCACTCTGGAAATTCCTGTGACGTCTAAGACTGATGGGCTGCAGGTGAAGCGGAAAACTCAGGTTGCAGGAATTTGCATTTTCGATGCATGTCCATCCTTGTAGTACCTGGCAAGAGGCACTTTGTCTAGGCCTCCTCATTTCCACGCTATTAGCTTGGATAATTTTCAACTATTATAAGGCACATAAACCTATAGTTGTATACTGGATGGGAACATCAGAGAGGCATTTTCTTCACTGGTGTTGCAATGTGGTTTTCAATGGCAAGATGAAAATATATTTTGTAGGTTACTTTGACATAATCATACTCTGCTATTGAGGGATTTTCATAACCATTCATGGGAAAAAACTTTTACTAAAGTTGACAGAGCATCAGTATTGTATATACGGGCCAATCTGACTACCACTTTGCACAAGTGGACAGACACCACTATGCAAAAGATGCCAAAATTCAATCACAGCAACTGTTACTGCAATGAAAAAGTAAAGAAAGTGCTCCGTGCAAAAAAAAATAACCCCTCCAATCATGGCCGTACATAGAGGGGTGTTGGGGTGGGCTGTGCCCCCCAGATTTCTGTTGAGCCCCCATTCCCATACTCGGGGCCTGCCCAGGACGTGAGTGCACAGCCTAGTGAAGTGATCTGTGATTCAGGAGAGTGGCTGTGCCGTGCCCTCTCACTGTCAGTGCAGTGCTCCTCCACACAGAACATCACACACATACAGGATAGCTGGCTCAGACTGCACACAGTTTAATTACCTGCACCCTGCACACATTTCCTTATGCCAGGACTTGGAGGAGGCAGGGTGCAGGTAAACTGTGTGCAGTCTGGACTATAGTGTATGTAGGAGGGATGGGGGGGGTGTATGTGCAAGGAGGGGCGATTGGGGGGATATGTGCAAGGTGGAAGGATTGGGGGGGGGACATGTGCCAGGAGGAAATATTGGGGGGATATGTGCAAGAAGGAGGGATTGGGGGGATATGTGCAAGGGGGAGGATTAGTGGGGATATGTACAAGGAGGGGGGAATAGGGGGGATATGTGCAAGGAGGGGAGATTAGGGGGGATATGTGCAAGGAGGAAAGATTGGGGGGATATGTGCAAGAAGGGGGGATTGGGGGGGATATGTGCAAGGAGGAAAGATTGGGGGGATATGTGCAAGAAGGGGGGATTAGGGGGGATATGTGCAAGGAGGAAAGATTGGGGGGACATGTTCAAGGAGGAGGAATTAGGGGGGATATGTGCAAGGAGGGGGGAGTAAAGGGGATATGTGCAAGGTGGAGGGATTACGGGGACATGTGCAATGAGAAGGAATTAGGGGAGATATGTGGAAGGAGGAGGGATTAGGGGAGATATGTGCAAGAAAGAAGGATTAAGGGGGATATGTGCAAGGAGGAGGGATTAGGGGGGATATGTGCAAGGAGGAGGGATTAGGGGGATATGTGCAAGGAGGAGGGATTTGGGGGGATATGTGCAAGCAGGAGGGATTAGGGGGATATGTGCAAGGAGGAGGGATTTGGGGGGATATGTGCAAGGAGGAGGGATTAGGGGAGATATGTGCAAGGAGGAGGGATTAGGGGAGATATGTGGAAGGAAGAAGGATTAGGGGAGATATGTGCAAGGAGGAGGGATTAGGGGGGATATGTGCAAGAAGGAAGGATTAGGGGTGATATGTGCAAGGAGGAGGGATTAGGGGGGATATGTGCAAGAAGGAAGGATTAGGGGAGATATGTGCAAGGAGGAGGGACTAGGGGGATATGTGCAAGAAGGAAGGATTAGGGGGATATGTGCAAGGAGGAGGGATTTGGGGGAATATGTGCAAGGAGGAGGGATTAGGGGGATATGTGCAAGGAGGAGGGATTAGGGGGATATGTGCAAGGAGGAGGGATTAGGGGAGATATGTGCAAGAAGGAAGGATTAGGGGGATATGTGCAAGGAGGAGGGATTTGGGGGAATATGTGCAAGGAGGAGGGATTAGGGGGATATGTGCAAGGAGGAGGGATTAGGGGGATATGTGCAAGGAGGAGGGATTAGGGGAGATATGTGCAAGAAGGAAGGATTAGGGGGATATGTGCAAGGAGGAGGGATTTGGGGGAATATGTGCAAGGAGGAGGGATTAGGGGGATATGTGCAAGGAGGAGGGATTAGGGGGATATGTGCAAGGAGGAGGGATTAGGGGGATATGTGCAAGGAGGAGGGATTAGGGGGATATGTGCAAGGCCAGCTACAACTGTGCAGATGGATGCTGTGTCTGTAAGAGAATCTGATCACGGCTATGTGCTGTATGGGGTGGAGGAGATCTGAGTACCCAGGCTGTATGCAGTGTGGAGAAGGGAGGAGGAGACCTGCTGAGTGCTCTGCCAGCAGTGACCCTGTCTTCTTCTCTGCTGACCAATGTCTTATGCCCTAGTGACTCCTGTCCTCTGCACTGCTGACCTGACGACCTCTGCAGGCTCCTTAGAAAAAAAAAAATAAATGCACATTTCTTTATCTGCAAAAGATGTCCTTTAACAATACCAAGGCCATTATTTGATAAACATCTTTAGTTAATACAGAATTAACAATATTCTAAAGGCATCTCTTCTATACATGGCACCCCTGGAAATAACATTTCAATCTAAATAGACAAATACGCAGGACAGGGAAAGGGAGGAGAAAGGAATAGCAATGAGAACATGTCACCAGGACAGGAAGTGAGAAACATCTAGGGGAAGAATCAAGCTTTTCATTGTTGTGTCCCAACTGGAAATTTTCCCTCTCCTTCTGTATGTCGTTTGGAGAGGAAATAGAGATAAATTTCCTCAACACTGTTGGAACTCAGCACAGTGGCTAAGTGGTTAGCACTTTTACCTAGCAGCACTAGGGTTGTCTGCTCGAATCCCAACCAGATGGCACTACCTGCCTGGAGATTTCATGTTCTTCCTGTGCCTGTGTGGGTTTCCTCCTACACTCTAAAGACATGCTGGTAGGTTATTTGGCTCCTGTATAAATTGGCCCTAGTATGTGTATGTATGAATGTAAGTTAGAGGCCTTAGATTGTACACCCCTTGAGGGCAGGGACTGATGTGAATGTACAATATATATGTAAACTGCTGCATAAATTGACGGTGCTGTATAAGTACTTGGAACTTATACTCCTTAAAGTACTCCTTTTTCCACTCGCTTGGTTTTCTCTGTGCTTTTGCTCCACCTGCTTTCCTTCCTTTCACCCAGCAGAAGCCATTATTTATTTATTTCAGGTACTTATATAGTGTCGTCAATTTACACAGCACTTTACATATATTTTGTACATTCACATCAGTCCCTAACCCTTAAGGAGCTTACAATGTAAGGTCCCTAACTTACAATTATACATACACATACTAGGGCCAATTTAGACAGGAGCCAAGTAACCTACCAGAATGTCTTTGGAGTGTGGGAGGAAAGCAGAGTACCTGATTGAAACCCACGCAGGTACAGGGAGAACATGCAAACTCCAGGCAGGTGGTATCGTGGTTGAGATTTGAACCAACGACCCTAGTGCTGCCAGGCAGAAGTGCTAACCATTTAGCCACTGTGCTGCCCACATTATCCCTATTCATTATAAAAAGGAGAGAAGCAGAGCCATCTAAGTGCAGCAATAAAAACAAATAATTTATTTCCACAAAATTGGCAACTCACAACAGTAGTAGCCAAATGAGCGCTTGTCAAACTGGTGTCAACTGCTGTGCAACTTTAGTCCGGTCCCACTGCAGGCAAGTCTGCAAAGCACTGTCCATGGTTGTGCTAGTGGCTTCCAGCACTTCCTGGCCGATGTGGATCCACAGGGCAGGAGGGAGTGATGTCAGCTCCAGGTACAGCAGCAGTAGGTGTGGCACGGGTTTGGAGCATGCATGCTTCTTCATTAGGCCAGTTTTTATTGCTGCACTTAGATTGGCGCTGCTTCTCTCCTTTTTATGGTTCACACAGGAGTTTCTTCTAGCTCTTTTTGAATTGGCTGCCACTGAGTCAAGCATTGTTGGATTATCCCTTAACCACTTTTGGATTTTAAAGACTTTAATTGTGTGATTAATATACTAGCCATCCCATAAAACATCTGGTCTTTTTCCTCTCAAATATCTCTCTCATGCTTATTTATTGCCCATGTTTACCTGCCCGCACTTTGTGATGCTGATTTTAGGGCATGTTTGTGATTTTGTACATTTGGCTATGCTATTGTATGTACCATTCTCTCCACCGGATGGTAATGTTCCCATATATGTGCCCAGGGCTTTTTGTCAGCTGGAATGTGGAGGTAATGCTAGGGGGGTCTTAAGTTTCTGGGGGGCCATTTGTTGCTGAGAAATAACTATGAGGGAGGGGGGGGTCTGTTGCAGGCAGGACCATTGCTAGACTATTTTGCACCCTAGGCAAGACCAGCTACTTGCACCCCCTACACACACACACACACATAAACATTTTTAACCACTTGCCGTCCGCCTGCTGTTTATAAACGGCAGGGCGGCGGCACTCCAGGGGTGGGTTGCCGTTCATAAACGGCACCCGCCTTTTCTAGCTGTGCGCGCTCCCTGGGTGAAACACCGATCGTCGGATGAGACCTCTGTACGAGGTCCCAATCATGTGATCACTGATTGGCCAATCAGTGATCACATGCAAAGTAGTAAGCAAAATGTCACTTGTGACATCATTGCTTACTGCGTGTGAAATCTGTGAATGATCACAGAGGTCACATGGTACAAGGCTATTCACAACAGCCTTGTACCATGTGACAAGGTGTGACCAATCACAGCTCACTCAGTATTTCTCAATGGCTGCAAGAATGCAGACAGAGAGAAAGAGAAATGATTGCTTTTACATTCTATATGGGTGTAAAAGCAATCACTGTAAAAAAAAAAAAAAAAAAAAAAAAAAAATCTTCATCACCCCCCACAAGTAGTACAGTGTCACCATGGTGACTGTACTGCTAGGGTGACAGTATGTAAAAAAAAAAAACAAAAAAAACCCCCATAAATAATAATATAAAAAAATAAAATAAAAAAAAATTTAAAAAAAATGTTTAAAAATGATAATTTTTGGTTATAAACTAATTTGCAAAATTTTATAAGAAAAACACTTTTTTTTCAAAATTTTTTTTTGGACTTTTTCATTTACATAGCAAAAAAAAAATAAAAATCCCAGCGGTAAATAAATACCACCAAAATAAAGCTTTATCTGTATCAAAAAATGGTAAAAAAAAAAAAAAAAACAAATGCATATGGGTACAGTATTGCATGACCGCACAATTGTCATTCAAAGTGTGATAGCGCTGAAAGCTGAAAATTGCCCTGGACAGGAAGGGGGTAAAAGTGTCCGGACAGGAACTGGTTAAAAAAACAGTTACAAATATTAAATCAACAAAACATGAAACTGCCCCATATCTTTTAATATGCAAACATAAGTGCTATAAGATGCCACCAGCACCAATAATTAAGACAAAATTAGTGTCACGGATTAACTGTATCTGTGGCTGGTAGTGGCAGGGGTGACAGTTGCAGTGAGTGGAGGATGATGGATCCACACTCTGACAGATCCCAGGCTGGAATTCCCCAGGCAATGAGGAGATAAACCGTGTGACAGCAGGTAGCTCAGCCCACACACACAGAGAGAACGCCTGAATTGAATGATCCCACACAACACACCACCACCAACACAGATCAGTAGGCACTAGAAGAGCAGGCTGTGGGATCGTGATGATGTCATCACTCACTGACACATTGCACATGTGATGGATGGCTGGCTGGATCACACTCACACAGACATGAGACATCAGAGTCAGGCAGCTCTGCTTCCACTGATGAATGGGAAGAGAAGGGTTGGAACTCCACAGTGATCAGCAGCCACCAGCTGGCTCGCAGTAAGGGACTGCGTCTGAGAGGAACAGTGGAAGGAGTGGCAGCTCAGCTCCTACACTGGCCGCAGACACCCGGCATCATCCTCTGTCCTTTCTTCCACTCCTCTGCCGCCCCTTCCCTCAGCTGAAGGATCAATCATGACGTGGCTGTGTCCCACAGGCACCCCTAGGTGGCATTGTGTCCTAGGCTGCAGCTTAGCTTGCCCAGTGGAAACACCGGCCCTGATTGCAGGCTGCTGAAGGGTTTAGAAATCTCTTGTTGCTGCCAGGGGTCTATTGTTGCTGGGATATCTATTGTTACTGGGAGATCTATTTTTGGTAAGGGATCTATTGTTGCCGGGAGCATCTATTGTTTCTGGAGGATCTATCATTGCCAGGTGGGTCTATTGTTCCTAGGGGATCTATTTTTGCCCGGGGATATATTATTGCCAGGGGGTCTATTGTTGCTGTCTGCAGGGAATCTATTATTGTTATCATTAACAAACTCCAAATTACTTAGCACAACAATATGATACGTGGTTCTGTATTCTCTAAAAGGGGCAGTACTGGGAGGTGGGTAGGAGGTGGAAACAAGGTACGGTGCTCGGAGGTGGGTTGGGGGTGGAGACAGGGGTGACTCAGAAGGGAGGAGTCCTGCACCTATCCTCTGAGAAAAAAATCCCTGTATGCACCTATTCACCTCGGATGGTTTTTTTCCCCCTTTCCTTTTATTCATGTTGTGTTCTTATGAACATGGCGATTTGCACATTTCTATTGTAACATTTGAAAGTGAATAAAATCTTTGTAAAACAAATAAAATAATAAACAAAACCTCAGACAGAAGTTAAACCTGATAGACGTTTAAACCCTTCCATACTGGCATACAGTATGTGCTCCATGTACACAGCAAATGGCTTAAAGTTTCCTTTCATCAACTCCTTTAAGTCACTTCCATGGTTGTGCACCAGGTCTTTCACAATCCTATTACCACACCGTCCCTAGCCATATATATATATTTAGCAACTATGACACAGGGAATATCTACAACTCATTAAACGATAAGAGATGTTATACATTCTTCTATTTTATTGTCCTTGATTTTAATTTCAGCATATTTCTTTTTATTTCAACAACTGCAGACATGTGAATTAAAACAAAACATTTCTGTTGAAGACAAAAGTTCTAGTCACACTGACCTAATTTACTTATTTGCAGGCAGTGTCTGGGATCCAAAGATGTGAGACATTAATCATTGTAATGCAATTTAGGAAACAGGATTGTATCATATGAAGAAAGCTTCTCAATCCCTCATTCTTTAAAAACCTAATTCCCATAAAGTCGCACCGATAAAGACCTGTTCCAGCCTAAACTGCCCTAAATGAAAGCAGGGGATTGACCAACACAAAAATGCTCACAACTGACTGAATACCCACAAAATGTTTTTAGCAAAGATCCAGCTAATAACCAAAATTTCAATTAGATTATTTGCTCATTTGATTTTCTCATCTTTCTCTAAATAGTAATAATACCAAAGCATACTTTTTATGGGCTATTCAGCAGTTCTTAAGTTCCATTTTTTTTTTGCCTTGATGCTTTCCCTGTCTGGCTATATCTCTTCTCTCTTCTCTCCCGGCTCTCACAGGCTGCTGCACTAATAGCAGCGAGTGTCATTGGCTTCTGCTGCTGTCAGTCAAATCCTGGGAAAAGCGAGTGGGGGGGGCGGGGCCAAGTCCTGCTTTGTGTCTATGGATGTAAACACCTCAACTGAGGAGTGTGCCTTGCTATGGGGGCACACACTGAAGAGGAGGAGTGGAGAGTGCCGGCGGGGGACTCCAGAGGAGTAAGCAAGCCACCACTCAGTGCAATTGCACAGAGCAAGTATTTATAACATGTTTATTATTTTAATAAAAAAAAAAAAAAAAAATAGATATAAACCCTAACTGAATGATATTTAGATTGCATAAGACATTTAGATTGCTTTGCAAATTCTTTATTTAAGAAGTACAGTATCTAACAAACCATACAAAAAAAAATGGCAGCAAAGGTCATACAATCTAATACACAAATGCCATCTTTAGATAGCAACATATCCAAACAGATATGAGGGCTAAATACATTGCAATAGTAGTGAATTGATAGGTAAGCAGGGTAATAACCCATGTACAAGGGCAGTCGTAAACCTTATCTAAGGAAACTGTAGTCTCTCTCATTCGATAAATCTCCATGTCCCAAGTTCGTGACCATGGCTACAACAAGGTAGGATACTGCTTTTGTTTGTTTAACTGGAGAGGTAAGGAAGAAAGAGAAAGAAGAAGAGAATTTGGGAGGGGGAGGATGAGGACAGGAGAAGCTAGGCAACGTGAAAAAATAATATTAATAATAAAAAAGAAGAAATATAATAGGTGGTGGTGGGGGGGCAAAGGGTAAAAAGTCATTGTCTGCCAGGAAAGTTTTAAAAAAAGCTTTACCCTCATCTAAGTAGATAGACATATTCCAGTTAAGCCAGGTTTTGGAATAGAGCTCATGTTTGTTTTGAGCAGAAAGTACAAGGTCCTCCATCTTATTTAGTTCTTCTACCCTGTTGAGCCAGAGCAAGATAGCAAGATAGAAAGGGGTTGTGATCTTTCCACCTTAGACAGATGCATGACTTGGCGGCATTAAGAAGATGGCGTAAGATTTCTTGTACATTTTGGTGGGGATGTTAAAGACATGCAGAAGTAAAAATGAGGGATCCTCTGGGATCTGTAAATCAGTACATTTTTGTGATACTCTAAATACTTCCATGTACAGGTAGGCAATTTCAGAGCAAATCGAATGATATTTCTACTTTGATCTAGTGGCGAGATCAGGAAGGAATACATCTTATAAAGGATGTGTGGTAAGGTGCCTTGATCAGTGCAAAGTCTTTCCAATGTAGTTAATGGACATTGAAAACAACTCGGGGGGAGCTAGAGAGCCAAACAAATGTTAACGACGTAGTACTTTCCAGAAGTCAAGGCCAAAAGGCTCCACCAGGCACATTAATGTCTGTATAGTAGGCCAAGTGGCCTCATTAAGGAAATGAGATGCTTGAAATCGCTGAGCATCAAGCATACTATGGAGCGGCTCTACAGAGGGGAATCCCATGTTGATTTTGTTTGAGTCTAGGCCAGAGCCTAATATCTGAACGTTGGCACCAGTCTATCAGTCTCCTCAGGTGGACTGCCTGATAGTATTTCTGTATGTCCGAGACAGCTATTCCACCAAATTGTTTAGGCAGGACCAAAAAGCACTGACATAGTCTGGGCTTTTTGTGGGCTCAGATGAAATCATTAACATATGATGATATTTACTAAAACTGGAGCACTCAGAATCTGGTGCAGCTGTTCATGGTAGCCAATCAGCTTCTAACTTCAGCTTGTTCAATTAAGTTTTGACAATAAAACCTAGAAGCTGATTGGTTTCCAGGCAGAGCTGCACCAAATTTTGCACAATGCAGTTTTAGCAAATAACCCCCATAGTGTTGATTTGTTCAAAGCCAGCAGTGCGAATAATAATGGAAAAGGAGGGGGAGCCAAACAGCCATACAGTATAGTACTTAATTTTCCACCACTCTCCTGACCCTGGATGTATCATACCTGCTTTACTGAGATATTCCTAAAGTATGTTGATAGAGTGCATTACTAATACTTGATTTTTACTATTTCAATAAAAATAATTATTACAATATATGGCTCTATGGGGCCTTTCTCTCCCTACCCTTTCTCTTTGCACTGGGCTTCCAGTCTGGACAAGGAAGCAGCCTGCACAGCCAGCTAGTAGTTAGTTGTTAACTATTTAGATCTTGCCCACACTTCCCGTTTTTTTGTTTTTAAGCTTTGTTTTTATCTTGTGACCATTTGTATTAGTATTTATTTTAGCCTGCAGTGTCATTTCATTATGTTAATTGT